CGCTAACTGCTGGTTCCCATTTTTTTTTTTTGGGGGGGGGAGAGGTTTTTGCTATAGGGTGCGTGCGCTTGCCTGACAGACAGAGAGAGACACAGAGACAGAAAGCGAGAAATCACCCCCCGGGGGGATGGCCATGCTGCAATCCCTTCTCCTCCATTCTCTCGGGATCTTGGGCACGCACGCACACGCGTCCGGCATGAGTTATAAGCCACCGGGTCTGGGACTTGAACCGCGGTCGACTACGTGGGAGTCCAGTGACATAGCCATTACACTAACTGCTGGTCCCTCCGAAACTGTTTTTCATTTAACATTTTGAATATACTTTCCCATTCTTTCCTTGCTCTCATTGTTTCTGATGAGAGGTCAGAGGTTAGCCTGATTGGATAACCTTTATAAGTGACCTGACATTGCTCTCTTGCCAATTTTAGTATCTTGTCTTTGTCTGTAGATTTGGCCAGTCTTGCTATGATGTGCCTTGGAGAAGATCTTCTTAGGTTGATTCTATTAGGGGTCCTTGGTATTTCTTGGGTCTGGATATTTGAATGCCTCTCTAGGTTTGGAAAGTTTTCTTCCAGGATTTCATGGAATAGATTATCAATGCCCTTATTAGTTTCCTCACCTTCTGGGACACCGATTATCTAGATGTTTGGGTGATTAATGCTGTCTAGTATTTCTCGTATAGTATTCTCATTGTTTTGGGTTATTTTATTAGTTTTTTTGGTTGTTTTTCCTATATCAGAAGTTTGGCATTCGGTATCCGAGATTCTATTTTCTGCATGGACTAATTCGTTTTTAATAATTTTGACGGAGGTTTTGATTTTCTGAAAAGCAGCCTTCATCTCTAATAGCTCCATTTGATTCGTTTTTATGCTGTGTATTTCCTCTTTCAGATCTTTTGGGTTATTTTATTAGTTTTTTTGGTTGTTTTTCCTATATCAGAAGTTTGGCATTCGGTATCCGAGATTCTATTTTCTGCATGGACTAATTCGTTTTTAATAATTTTGACGGAGGTTTTGATTTTCTGAAAAGCAGCCTTCATCTCTAATAGCTCCATTTGATTCGTTTTTATGCTGTGTATTTCCTCTTTCAGATCATGGAAGAACTTCCACATCTCCTGGAACTCATTGTCTTTTTTCTTCTGCAACTTCTGAAGTTCATTATCTCTCAGCTCCTGCATCTCATTTAGCTTTGTCATTATAAATATTCTGAATTTTCTATCAGACATTTATCTTTGGGCAGGGCACAGAGCAGGATGGAGGGTGGTTGAAGTCACTGGCTGTTTATACCAACATGTTTCATGACAGATTTCGGTGGGTGCTAAAGGTGTGGACCACTGAGCTCTGCCCCTTTCCAGTATTTGACGGTGTTGGTTAGTTGGAATGAAGGGGAGTTAATCCACACCCATAGCTTCCCTTACTGCAAACTGTCTACCTCAACTTCTCCAATCTACAATAGTCTCCATAAAACACACATTACCTCTTCTGGGTGCTTGTCAAACAGTCTGCTTCAACAAAATACTACCACTGTTTACGTTATGCTGGATGATGAAACGAAGGAATTTGGGGAGAAGAAAATCTCACAATTTCCAACATGTACGTAAGCAAGAAACTACCTCACCAGCAAGGGGATAATTCAGCTCCGCACCACCTGAAGTAATCAAGAGCAGAGGCCACAGGAGTGGTCCTGAGACAGCTGTAACACCGAAATGATGGATTTAAGCATCGTTCACTCTGGATCACAAGTCTGCATTATGCACTTGAGGGTTTTCTAAAGTACTGAAGGCAAGAGCAATTAATTTGCACACTCTTTCAAGACTTACAAAACCTTGGATTTCAGCATATCTGTGTCCAAAGGATTATAGCTAAAAGAAACTGAGTCAGCTTTTTCTCTCAGAAAATTATTCAAGGGGAAGGGAAACAGCTGTACTTTATGCTGCTCTGGACAATGTGGTCACCACTGACACTGCTAAGCAATGTACCTTATAGAGATTTCCAGTTCAGAGAGGAAACTGACTTTCATTTGACTCTCTCCATTCTATCCCGACTCATGCACACTTACAGACACTCAAATACACACTAACAAACACACAAGGATTACTATGGGGTCATTTAAGTTTTATAATATTAAGAAGCATAAGGTAGCTAAAAGTTGCTACATATTTTGAACACACTGAAAAATAAAAAATTGTTACAAGAAAAATTACCAACAAGCGAAAGTTACCCACTAAAATCTGCTGTGCATCTTTTTTTTTTTTTTTTTTTGCCAGAGGGTACATGTGCTCACCAGAGAGAAAGAGGGAGAGAGACAGAGATAGAAAGAGGAGGAGGAGATAGAGAGTGTCCCCCAATAGGGCATGGTCACGTCGGAATCTTTTCTCCCCCATTTCTCCATCCCATCAGGATTTTGAACACACATGCATACATGCCCAGCATGTTTCACAAGTTTCTAGTTCAAAACTCAAACTGTGTTTCTCAAACTGCTGGGCCTGGGATTTGAACTGCCTGGTCAGCCATGTGGGATCTGGCTCCTTATACCGCTATGCCCTGGGACCAACCCCTGCTTTGCATTTTAATTCAAGTTTAGCCCAACCTAACACAGTGGTCACAGTGCTATTAGGCACTCAGTAAATCTTTGTTGAATAAATGAATTTATGGATACCACATATTTTTTAGGCAAAAACCCAAGATATAAATGGAAAAATTGAGGAATTTATATAATTTCCAGGAAGAGGGTGTTAGCTCTTAGCTGTGATAAGAAAAAGAATTTGGTCTGATGTTTACCCATATTTATGCTGGGCATAGAGTTATATTTTAGGGATGATAAATTCAGACCTTCAAGCTTTAAAAATATGTAGAAAATAAGAGAAAATGCTTTCACCATAAAATGTCACTGACTTGAAATTCAAAGTACATTAGCAACTAGGTTTTTAAAAAAAATCCTCTTAACACTTGACTCAAAATCATATCCTTTAAATGTTAAGGTGAAACTATGTTGTGATTTTCCATAGTTAAATTTGCTTCTGAAACTATTCTTCCTTCTGATAGCTTTCTCTTCATTCTTCCCCCATTGTGTGACATTTAAAAGAGCATTAAAATAAGAGTTTACATCAAAAGTATGTGAGACAAAACCATAAGGAAAATGTCCATCGCACCACATATCAAAGCTATCTGTTATACTCTCTTTGTACTTAGTCATATCTGTCCATTCACAAAGCTTACACTTAGTGGATATCTCTTCAAATATTTACTGAGCACCATGTGGCAGGCACTGTGCCCAGCATGAGGGATGAAACAGATCACTCTTGCCCCATAGAGGTAACAGTGAGGGTAGACAGACAGATACTAAATGATCACACAATTCATTCATTGAAATTGTGATTTGGACCATAAAGTCAAGTGCAGTCTTCTTTATCAAGGACAACGGACTTAATTCTTGCATTAGCGGCAGCTACTGAACGATTTTCATCGGGAAGTGATGTGACCAGATCCACTTTCAGTCACTCTGGCCAAAATGAGACAAGAGGACTTGAGTGAGTCAGGGCATATGTTGAGCAATCAATGAGCAGTCTGAGCTAAAAGAAACTGAGTCAGCTTTTTCTCTCAGAAAATTATTCAAGGGGAAGGGAAACAGCTGTACTTTATGCTGCTCTGGACAATGTGGTCACCACTGACACTGCTAAGCAATGTACCTTATAGAGATTTCCAGTTCAGAGAGGAAACTGACTTTCATTTGACTCTCTCCATTCTATCCCGACTCATGCACACTTACAGACACTCAAATACACACTAACAAACACACAAGGATTACTATGGGGTCATTTAAGTTTTATAATATTAAGAAGCATAAGGTAGCTAAAAGTTGCTACATATTTTGAACACACTGAAAAATAAAAAATTGTTACAAGAAAAATTACCAACAAGCGAAAGTTACCCACTAAAATCTGCTGTGCATCTTTTTTTTTTTTTTTTTTTGCCAGAGGGTACATGTGCTCACCAGAGAGAAAGAGGGAGAGAGACAGAGATAGAAAGAGGAGGAGGAGATAGAGAGTGTCCCCCAATAGGGCATGGTCACGTCGGAATCTTTTCTCCCCCATTTCTCCATCCCATCAGGATTTTGAACACACATGCATACATGCCCAGCATGTTTCACAAGTTTCTAGTTCAAAACTCAAACTGTGTTTCTCAAACTGCTGGGCCTGGGATTTGAACTGCCTGGTCAGCCATGTGGGATCTGGCTCCTTATACCGCTATGCCCTGGGACCAACCCCTGCTTTGCATTTTAATTCAAGTTTAGCCCAACCTAACACAGTGGTCACAGTGCTATTAGGCACTCAGTAAATCTTTGTTGAATAAATGAATTTATGGATACCACATATTTTTTAGGCAAAAACCCAAGATATAAATGGAAAAATTGAGGAATTTATATAATTTCCAGGAAGAGGGTGTTAGCTCTTAGCTGTGATAAGAAAAAGAATTTGGTCTGATGTTTACCCATATTTATGCTGGGCATAGAGTTATATTTTAGGGATGATAAATTCAGACCTTCAAGCTTTAAAAATATGTAGAAAATAAGAGAAAATGCTTTCACCATAAAATGTCACTGACTTGAAATTCAAAGTACATTAGCAACTAGGTTTTTAAAAAAAATCCTCTTAACACTTGACTCAAAATCATATCCTTTAAATGTTAAGGTGAAACTATGTTGTGATTTTCCATAGTTAAATTTGCTTCTGAAACTATTCTTCCTTCTGATAGCTTTCTCTTCATTCTTCCCCCATTGTGTGACATTTAAAAGAGCATTAAAATAAGAGTTTACATCAAAAGTATGTGAGACAAAACCATAAGGAAAATGTCCATCGCACCACATATCAAAGCTATCTGTTATACTCTCTTTGTACTTAGTCATATCTGTCCATTCACAAAGCTTACACTTAGTGGATATCTCTTCAAATATTTACTGAGCACCATGTGGCAGGCACTGTGCCCAGCATGAGGGATGAAACAGATCACTCTTGCCCCATAGAGGTAACAGTGAGGGTAGACAGACAGATACTAAATGATCACACAATTCATTCATTGAAATTGTGATTTGGACCATAAAGTCAAGTGCAGTCTTCTTTATCAAGGACAACGGACTTAATTCTTGCATTAGCGGCAGCTACTGAACGATTTTCATCGGGAAGTGATGTGACCAGATCCACTTTCAGTCACTCTGGCCAAAATGAGACAAGAGGACTTGAGTGAGTCAGGGCATATGTTGAGCAATCAATGAGCAGTCTGCTACAGTAGTACCTTCCACCAAAGGCCACATTCCAGGTGACATATGATCATGGCATGATCTAGAGTGATACCACTGGAGATGGTGAGAACAACAGTAACGCATCTGATAATAGTAACCAAGGCTGTCATTTGCTGTGCCACTCTCCTGTTTAAGCAATTTCAATTACTATTCATTTAATACCAATTTTTATTATTAAGGACACAGGCATAAAGAAGTTCAGTATCCTGTCCGTGGTCACACACCTAGCAGTGGCATGAACTCAGAGACACAGTCTCTAAAGCTCAAGTTTGTAACTGCTCTATAAGCTTCTAAACTGAATTAGACCTTCTGACTGCTCGGACAACTACCTGGTTTTCCAGAGTGCTGGCAATTTATTCATTCCCTGCCCAGTCCTTTTCACTGCTGTTCAACAGGTTAAAGATTTTCTCATGGGTCAGCTAAAGAGAACACTTTCAGTGGGAATTCTCTATGCCTTGTTCTTATTTCCCATGCTCTTCCTGGTCTTAAAAATGAATGTGTCTTGAGATTGCATGCATTGACCTGTACTGAAAATTCACATTGGAATTTCTTCATGAAATTCTTTTCTGCACAAACCATGGGTCATAGAACAGAGCTCAGCTGTAAATTCTGATGCCTCCATTTGAAAAGATCTGTTAATGTTGAGAATAAATATGACTCATCAATCTTGAGCAGCAGATGTAAGCTGAAGAAAATTGTTAATTTACAGGGTCACTTCACTATGGGAGCCTGAACAGAAATGTCAATTTATAAGTTGTGACCCTATTACTGATTTTACTGTTTGAGACAGTGTTGCATTAAAATGAACTAGATGGACTAGGAG